GACATGCCTCACAAAAAATGACTTAGGTGGAGGTGGAGTATGATAATCTCCAGCAGTACATGTATGCCAATCATATTTGGCTTTAGATAACCTGTTTTATTTATTGTTTTATGAAAACATGGAAAGCATCATTTGTAAGTATTCCACTCTGTTCAAAGAAGTGTGAAATGGCTTTGCTTTTACTTTTGAGGAGTGTCAGCATACTGGTTAGAGAGGCTGAAGGATGGGGTGGGGAGAGAGGTAGAAGGAGATGAGGCACTGGGCAGAAGTGACAAGCCTGTAAAGCAGGCAGTCTTATTGATTTATGCTGTGAACTGCATTCTGGAGAAAAGAACTGAAATCCATTACGCCAAGTGCATAGCGTACAAATCCCTTTGAAAAGCAGTTAGATGCCGGCTAATCCCAAATCATTTAAAAACAATTTTGCAGTACCCAGAATTCTAAAATGCCTTGAGCAGTTTGTCTCTTAGACTAGAAGAACAGTGAAATAGATGGAAAATAGTATTTTAATGGTGTCATCCTCTCACACAATTGTATTTTAATTGTGTGACTTAAATAGCGTGTTAAATTGTATTTTAGATATATATAAATCTGGGAGTAGGATATAGTCCCTTGAATATTCTAAAACACACCAAAAACATAGGCTATGGAAGAAACCTTATCAGATACCTCTCCTTAAAAAAAATTTTTTTTTTACTTTGACATAATTTCAGATTTCTAGAAAAGTTGCAAAAATAGTAGAAAGAATTCTCATTATCCAGATTTCCCAAATGGTAGCATTTTACCATGTTTTCTTTTTCCTTTTCTCTATTAAATACATAGTATTTTTCCAGGTAACTCTTTAAAATTTCTATTTAAAGAAACAAGGATGTGAGTTCATGAAGGTATTATGCCACATAGAGATACGAGGCTGGGGAGATGACTTCAAGCAGAAAAGATAGTGTGGAAAAGGGGTTCAGATGGTAGCTGAGTGATTCCTAGTCTTTTTGTTTGTGGATTTTCAGATTGGCTTCTTTCACTTAGAAATAGGCATTTAAGTTTCCTCCATGTCTTTTCATGACTTGATAGCTCATCTCTTTGTAGTGCTGAATAATCCATTGTGTGGATGTTTCACAGTTTGTTTATTCATTCAACTACCGAAGGACAGCCTGGTGGCTTCTAAGTTTTAGTGATTGTTAGTAAAGCTGCTGTAAATATCTGTGTGCTGGTTTTTTTGTGGACATATGTTTTCAACTCTTTGGGGTAAATACCAAGGAGCCCAATTACTGGATTGTACGGTAAGAGTTTATTTAGTTTTATAGTAAACTGCCCAACTGTCTTCCAAAGTGGCTGCAGTATTTTGCATTCCCACCAGCAGTAAGTGAGAATTCCTGTTGCTTCACACCCTCACCGGCAACCCTCACCAGCATTTGCTGTTGTTGGTGTTTTGGATTTTAGTCATTCTTAAGAGGTGTGTCGTGTTATCTCATTGTTTTAATTTGCAATTCTCTAATGACATATGATGCTGAACATCTTTTCACATACTTATCATCATAGGTGTATCTTTGGTGAGGTCTGTTAAGGTCTTTTGCCATTCTTTAATCAGGTTGTTCATTTTCATGTTGTTCAGTTTTAAGAGTTGAGACACAGTCCTTTGTGAGATGTGTCTTTTGCAAATAATTTCTCCCAGTCTGTGGCTTGTCTTTTCATTCTCTTTACAGTGTCTTTCATAGAGCAGAAGTTTTTAATTTTGTTGAAGTCTACTTTTTCAATTCTTTCTTTCATGGATCATGCCTTTGGTGTTGTATCTAAAAAACAAAAGTCATCCTCATAGCAAGTCATCTAAGTTTTATCCTATGTTATCTTCTGGGAATTTTATAGTTTTGTGTTTCACACTTAGATCTTGTGATTCATTTTGAGTTAATTTTTGTGAAGGATGTAAAGTTAGTGTCTAGATTCATTTTTTGTCAGGTGGATGTCCAGTATTCCAGCACCATTTGTTGAAGAGACTGTCTTTGCTCCATTACATTGACTTTGTTCCTTTGTCAAAGATCAGTTGACTATATTTATGGGAATCTATTTCTGTGCTCTCTATTCTGTTCCATTGATCTGTTTGTCTATTCTTTCACTAACTACACTGCCTTGATTACTGTAGCTTTATAGTGAGTCCTGAAGTTGAGTAGTGTCAGTCTTCCAGCTTTATTCTTCTCCTTCAATACTGTACTAGCTATTCTGGGCCTTTTTTGCCTTTCCATATAAACTTTAGAATCAGTTTGTCGATACCCATAAAATAACTTTTGCTGAGATTTTTATTGGGATTGAATTGAATCTATAGATCAAGTTAGGAAGATCTGACATCTTAACACTATTGAATCTTCCTATCTGTGAATATGGAATATCTCTCTATTTTAGGTCTTCTTTGGTTCTTCTATGTTTTATAGTTTTCTTCATGATCTTGCACATGTTACGTTAGGTTTATATCTATGTATTTCATTTCTTTAGTTGCTAATGTAAATGGTAATTGTGTTTTTAATTTCAAATTCTATTGTTCATTGCTGGTATATAGGAAAGCAGTTGACTTTTTAAAAAACTTTATTTATTTATGTATTTATTTTACAATATTATATTTTTTAAATTGAAGTATAATTGTTGTACAATATTATATGTTATAGGTATACAATATAGTGATTCACAATTTTTAAAGGTTATACTCCATGTATAGTTATTGTAAAATATTGACTATATTCTCCATGTTGTACAATACATCCTTGTAGCTTATTTTATACGTGATAGTTTGTACCTCTTAATCCTCCACTTCCATCTTGCCCCTCCCCTTCCTCTCTCCCCACTGGTAACCATTAATTCCTTCCCTACATCTGTGAGTCTATTTCTTTTCTGTTGTATTCAATAGTCTGCTGTTTTCTTTTAGATTCCACATATAAGTGACCTCCCACAGCATTTGTCCCTTTCTGTCTGACTTATTTCACCAAGTCCATCCATGCTGTACACCAGAAACTAATACAACATTTTAAATTAACTGTACCCCAATTAATTTGTTTGCAAACAAACAAATAACCCATATGAAGTATGAGCAGAAGAACTGAATAGACAGTATTCCAAAAGAGGGAATACAGATGGCCAACAGGAACATGAAAAGTTGCTTAGCATCACTAGTATCAGAGAAATGCAAATCAAAATCACAGTGAGATACCATCTTATACCGGTCAGAATGGCCATTAACAAAAAGAACACAAGTAACAATTATTGGTAAGGATGTGGAGAAAAGGGAACCCTTATACATTGTTGGTGGGAATGTAAATTGGTACAGCCCCTATGGAAAACAATATGGAGGTTTCTCAAAAAACTAAAAATAGAATCACTATATGGCCCAGCAGTTCCACTCCTGGGCATATACCCAAGAAAAACTAAAACAAACACAAACAAAAAACAAAACAAAAACAAAAACAGTAATTCAAAAAGATACATACACCTTGCTATTAACAACAGTACTATTTACTGTTGCCAAGACATGGAAGCATCCCACGTGTACATCAATAGATGAATGGATAAAGAAGATGTAGCATATATAGAAAGCAGTTGACTTTTGTATATAATCTTTATATCCTGCAACATTGCTATAATTACTTATTATTAGTTCCAGGAAGTTTTTTATTGTTGTTGATTCTTTTATATTTCCTATATAAACAATCATGTCATCTATGAACAAAGACAGTTCTATTTCTTTTTCTTGTCTTAGTACATTAGCCAGTACAGTGTTGAAAGGAGTGGTAAGAAGGGGACATCCTTGTCTTGTTTCTGATCGTAGTGGAAAAGCTTCTAGTTTTTCATTATTAAGTATGATGTTAGCTGTAGATTTTTTGTAGATTTTTTTTTCAAAGTTGAGGAAGTTCCTTTCTGTTCCTAGTTTGCATTTCTTCCTTTTTAAGGCTGAGTAATATCCCATTGTATGTGTGTCCACATTTTGTTTACCCCTTCATCTGTCAGTGGATATTTGGGTTGCTTCCACCTTTTGGCTATTGTGAATAATGCTGCTAGTTCATGGGTGTGCATATAGCCCTTTGAGACTCTACTTTCAATTCTCCCAATGTAATAGCCAGAAGTGGCATTGGCCAGATCATATGGTAATTCTTCTTAAAAGTTTTTTGAGGAACCAGTATGCAAAGTTTTATGTAAAAGGATGTTCATTGCACTGATGTTTACAATAGCAGAAATTTGGAAGCAGCCTTGCTATATTTGAGTAAGTGGTTACATAATTATGGCATATTGATACAATGAAGTATTCTTCAGCTATTTAGAAAGTTCTGGTAGATGTGTATGTTTCGACAATGTCAAAATATCCAGGTATATTGTCATATGAAAGAAGCTAATTATAGAATAATATATGTATTGTGAACCTGTTTTTATTTTAAATCATATACATACATGCTTCAAAAATTTTAAGGATAATATACTTCTCTGTAGCTTAGCATAGGGAGAAGAGAGGACAGATGCAGTAGGAGAGCAAACCTTTATCTTATTATTACTTTATGAATTACTACATCATTTCAGGGTTTTTTAAAAATACAGTTTATAAGCAGAAAAACTAATTTGAATAATTGCATTTTTGGAAAAAATGTTTAACTCCCATTTGTGTTTGAAGTACAAAGAAAAGATTATTTTACTTACTTGTCTACAATGTCAAATGCTAGTCACTGGGATCTCTTAAATATCTTTTTGTCATTATATATAATATCAAGGATATTTATTGTTTTGTGACTTGAGGTATTAAAATTAGCACAATGAATTTCCGTCAGGATAGCTTCGCACAAGGAAAATATTCTACCATTTTTATGTCATATTGGAAAGGTGCTTCCCATTTCCTATAACTTGGTATGGTGAACTATGTAGTAAAATCAAAGGCTTGTCAAAGTTTCTCTGCTCTTGAGGAAAATATATCTCTTAGTTTAAGCATTGCATTACATTACACATTGAATCTAGCTCTGTGCTTCTTTTTCTGGCAGTAGATCTTCATGGAGGAACACGGAGTGACCCAAACCGAACACATGGCTACCATAGAAGCTCATGCAGTGGCCCAACAAGTACAGCAGGTCCACGTGGCCACCTACACTGAACACAGTATGCTGAGTGCTGATGAAGACTCACCTTCTTCTCCTGAGGACACCTCTTATGATGATTCAGATATACTCAACTCTACAGCGGCGGATGAGGTAACAGCCCATCTGGCTGCTGCAGGTAACGTTTGGATTAGAAGCTTGTCATTTGTTACTTAACTCTGGTACTGTGCTTACCTGAAAGAGCTTAGGATGCAGGCACTCACTTTTATCTTCATATCACATTGTCACTTTTTTTTTCTTGAAACTTTGCATTTATAACCTGTTCCTATATTACACTGAGACTTAAGTTCCAAACTCATGTACTGTCAGTGATATGGACTTTGGTTTTGTTTTTTTATCCGTTCCAACACTCTTTACTTTTAACTGAAGCATATATTCCATTTACATTGAAAGTAATCACTGATATATTTAGGTTTAAATTTATCATGTTTATTATATGCTTTCTTTTCATCCCCCTTGTTCTGTTTACTTTTCCCTAGGTTTTCTTTTGGAATGATTGAAAAATGTTGATTTCTTCATTTTTTTTCTTGTTAGTTTGTAATTTATATAAACTTCTGTTATTAGTGGTACACCTAGAAATATATATCCTTCACTTATTTCAAAGTCTTATGCAATTGATACTTTTGTCCTCTTTAGGAATAATACAAGTTTCTTAGAACACTTGAATTTCATTCCCCTGCTTCTGACTTATATGCTGTTGTTGTCCTGTATATTAATTCTTTGTGTATTTTAAGCACCACAAGACGTTATTTCTGTTCTGTACATAGTTAATGTTAACTTTTCCTCTTATATTCAACTTGCCGTCTGAGAATTTTTCTTCTGCCTAAAGATACCATTTATTATTTCCTTCAGCATGGATCTGCTAATAGTAAAGTCTCCATTTTTGTTTATCTGAGGATGTTTTTATTTAACCTTCAGTCTTGAAGGATGTTCTCACTGGGTGTGGAATTCTAGATTGGCAGTTATTTTCTCTTCTCATATTGAAGATACTGTTTCACTGTCTTTTGTTTTCCATTCTTGCTTTGAGCATTCAGCTCTTTCATTCTAATATGTGTCCCTTTATCTCCCACACAGGCCCCTCCTCCAACTGCTTTAAGATTTTCTGTCATTAGTTTTTGTGATACATCTGGATCCAGGAGTTCTTCTCATTTATTCTGTTTAGGATTCTTTTAACATCTTGAACCTGTGGATTGATGTCTTTCATCAATTCTGGAAAATCTTAGCCACTACATTTTGCTTCAGTTTTGCTCCCCTTCCATTCCATCTCTTTTCCTCTTATGATGCCAGATAAATGTTAGTCTTCCTCACTGAGTCCTTTATATCTTCATTCTATGTAGTTTCTTCAGACTGTTATCTAGTTTATTAATTGTTCTCTTCAGCTGTGTCTAAGGTGTTTTTAAGCCTGTCCACTGAGTTATTAGTTTTGGTAATAGTTTTGTTTCATTTTCTAGTTTTAGAATTTTTTTCTCCCAAATTTTGCAGTGTCACAATTTTTAGTTATTATAGGAAAAAAACCTGTAATATCCATGGGTAAAGTAAGCATTATGATTTTATAGTTCATTTGGTAATTCTACTCTCAAGTGCCTATGAGTCTGTTCCTGTTATATGTTGTTAATGTTTTTCTTGTTCCATGTTGTTTTTTCTTGTCATGTATTAGTTACATTTGAATGAATGCTGGATGGGTATGTTTGGAAAATTATTTTTAGAAATAATTTGGGACCTAGAATAATATTACAGTCCTCTAGAGAGGATTTTTATTTGCTTCTGCCAGATGCCTGAGGGCACTAGCAGTCCTAGACCATCTTAATCCAATGTAAGGTTTTGAGATTTTTCTGGGCCTCTAAATGACTTAAAGCTGGGCTATATTCTGTACCATTTTCTTTGCTATTTGCATTGTATATTTAGCACAGTGTGGAAGACTCCATGTAAACTATGCCTGGATGGGTCTAATATTGTATGAGGAACATTGATCTTAGAAGATATTTAAGAAAAGCTGGACAGTTAATCAATGATCAAGAATGGCCAGATACTACATTTTTTTAGTATATGCTGTATTTTAGGGGGAGGAGGACATCTACAGTGAAAATAAACTTATTGCTGTCAGTTATTATCCACTGTGTATTTCTGGAATGGTGAATTTAAAAATAAGGCTTAATACATAAAACACATACAATGTTATTAAAATATATTTTTGAAATTTTAATACTTCCCAGAAGAGGGCATCCTAACATAAAGAATCCAGGAAAACTTCTTTCCTAGGAAGGAAGATGCTTTTGAGACATAGTTTTGCTGTGTTACTGTACTGCATTGCCATAGTGTTAAGATTAGCAAAGGGCCTTAATCTAACACTTTCATATGGCATATGTGGAAACTGAGGTCTAGCTGATAGAAATGATTTACCATTTAACCATTCAACAATATTTGAGGAATTACTGTATACTCTATATTACTATATATAGATACTATGAACAAAACAGGTAAGAACTTGCTCCTAAGAGAGCTTACAGATCGGTGGTAGGGAGAAAGGTGCAAATAATAAAGCAAAATAATTTCAGAAAGCACTGAGTGCTCTGAAGAAAATAATGAAGTAAGGTAAATGGAGAGAGAAAGTTAGTTGCTTACTGCTTTTTCTAAACCTGTTTCCTTCCCTCCATCTACTGAAGTAACCACTATTCTGAATTTGGTCTTTAATATTCTATTGCATTTCTTTCATATTTTTATATGTGTGTGTATCAATAAACAATATTTAGCATTGTTTTTGCATGTTTTAAATTTTATATGAATAGTATCATTCTGTTACCATTTCTCTAACAGTGTTTATTTCATTCAGTATTATTTTTCTGAGATTAATTTTTGTTGATAATGTGGCTGTATGTTTTCATTTTAACTGTTATTTGGTATTTCATTCGTTTTCTGAGTATCTCACATATGGGGAGAACACTTAGATTATTTATAAATTTTTTTTATTGAGTTATAAGATTATTTATAAATTTTTGCTGTTACAATTACTGCAAATGAAAATAATTTCATATGTTTTCTTGTACACATTGTGAAATCTCTTGACTTTGATTTTCATACTTCTTTTGGCAGTGTCCCACAATAATATGTTGTGATCTAGAATAAACTGATGTACATGTAACAGAAGTAATTTCTTGTGAAGTAATTCCCCAACTGCAAGTGACACACTCTCTGTTACGTTCTGATCTCTTTCACTTTATTCCATTTTATTTTTAAAAAACAAAAACTACTCATGAGTGACCAACTGGTGGAACCCTGCTGTTTAAAAAACACTGCTTGAGCATATACCCAGGAGGGGAATTGGAGGGCAAAGATAGGCACATTTTCAACTTTACTAGGTATTCCAAATGTCTTTCCAAATCATTTCATTAATTTACATTCCTACAGGCATTGTACTAGCGTGCCTGTTGCTTTTCAGCCTCACCACATTTGCTATTTTCAGTCATTTTTCATTTTTGCCAGTCTGATGGGTATGAAATAATACCTCAGTGTTGGTTTAATTTGCTTGTCTGAGCAAGAGATTCCAGCCAGAGTGGGAAGACAAGATAGAGCATCATCTCAGAACTTTATTGACTATTCATTTTTCTTCTTTTACATATTTCCTGTTTATACCTTAGTCCATTTTCCAAATGGGTTGTCTTTTCTTATTTGGAAGAGTTATTGATTTTTTTTAATATTAACCTTTTTTCTGTAGTATGTATTACAGTTATTTTCTTCTAGTTTGTTGCTCACTCCCTCCCCAATTTTTTGTTATTTCTTTCCATCCATACAGGTTTTGATTTATATTATTGTGAAATTTGTCAGTGTTTTACCTCATGGTTTATCCTTTTGGAGCCTTGTTTAAGCAATTCTTCTTAACCCTGAGTTTATAAATTCTCTCCAGTAGTTTATTTGAGAAGTTATAAAGTTTGTTGTTGTTGTTGTTTTATTGATGTTTTTGTTTTACATTTAGGCCTTTAATCCACCTGGAATTTATTTTCACTTATAATTTAATATATGGATCTACTTTCATTATTTGCCCGTACAGACAGTCAGTTGTCCCAGCACCATATTTTTAATTGTCCGTCCTTTCCCCATGACTGTCTTCGGACACAGGAGGGTGTTTGTGAGCTCTCTAGTCAGTTGCATTGGTTTATTTATCTATCTTATCCAGTTCCACACTGTCTTAGACTATAGCTTTGTAGTAACTACTGATACTTGGAAGGATGAATGCCCCTGCCTCATTTTTAAAATCTCCAAAAATTGTTCTGGCTCTTCTTGGCCTTTTGTATTTCCATTTAAATTTTAAGATCAGTTTATCAAGTTCCACAAAAAAAAAAAAAAACCACTGGGATTTTTATTTGAATTGCATTATTTTGTAAATTAATTAATTAACCTAATTAAGCAGCTTTATTCATAGTAGCCTAAAACTGGAAATAGCCAGTGTCCACCAGTAGGATAATGGATAAACTGTGGTTTACTGATATTCTGAAATATTATTCAGCAATAAAAAAGAACAATCTACTGATACATATAATGACATGGATGAATCTCAAAAACATTCTAAGTGGAAGAGTATATAACAGTATGATTTCATTTATTTGAAGTTCTAGAATAGGCAAAACTAACATAGAGTGAAAAAAATGAGAATTATGATCTTATGGTAAGAGATACAGTGGGAACTGACTGGGAAGGGACATGAGAGAACTTTTTATAGTGATAATATTACATATCTTGGTACAGGTTAGGGTTTCATAATTCCATGCATTTTTCAAAATTTATCAAATGACCTGTACATTTCATTATATGTAAATGTTACTTCAAAAGAAAAAATTATAAGCAAATATTGAACTCTAGCCAAGGATGTTCCTACTGAAGTATTTTGGGGGATCAGTTTACTTTGAAATGCATTTTTGACAAAAAACCCCAGTGTGAGTTGATGGATGGATAGAAAGATGAAAAGATGCATGTAGTAAAATGTTAATGGTGGAGTCCAGGTGGTAGATCTGTGAATAGTCACTGTAAAATTCTTTCAACTTTACTATATATTTGAAAGTCTAAATAATAAAATGTTGGATTCCCATAACTCAATAGCATAATAACAAATAACCTGATTAAAAAATGGACAGAGGACTTGAGTAGACCCCTCCCTAAAGAAGACATACAAATGGCCAACAAAGTAATTGTGTTAAATTATGCTCAACATCACTAATCATCAGGGAAATACAAATCAAAATCACAATGAGACACCACCTCACACCTGTTAGAATGGCTATTATAAAAAAACAAAAATTAAGTATTGGCAACGATGTAGAGAAATTGGAATCCTTGTATGCTGTTGGTGGGAACATAAAACAGTGCAGCCCCTATGGAAAACAGTGTGAAAGTTCCTCAAACAGTTAAAAACACAACTACCATATGATCCAGGAGTTTCATCTACGGATGGATATTTATTAAAAAGAATTGAAACAGGATCTCTTAGAGATATTTGCACTCCTGTGTTCATCGCAGCACTATTCATAATAGTCAGGATGTGGAAACAGTGTAAGTGCTCATTGACAGATGAATGGATAAAGAAAATGTGGTGTGTATGTGTGTACACACACACACACACACACACACACACACACACACAGGAATATTATTCTGCCTTTAAAAAGAAGGAAATCCTACCATATATGGCAACATGGATGAACCTTGAGGGTGTTATGCTAAGTAAAATACACAAGGTCAGCAGGATAGGTACTGCATGGTTCCACTTATTTGAGGTATCGTATTCAAACTCTTAGAAGCCAAGAGTAGATTTTTGGTTGCCAGGGGCTGGGGTGCAGAAATGGGAAGTTGCTGTTCAACAGAATAAAGTTTCAGTCATGCAAGGTGACTAAGTTCTAGAGATCTGTTGCACAACATTGTGCCTACAGTTAACAGTACTGTATTGTACACTTAAATTTTTATTAAGACAGTAGATCTCATGTTAAATGTTCTTACCATAATTAAAAAAAATTAAATGGTGGAAAAATGCATTAGTAAGATTTTTTCCTCTACTAGCTGTTTATGTTGGAAAGGCATTAATTTATTTTTTTACTTGCTTTGGGGCTCCTTAGAGAAGTTTGTTTAAGTCATACTGAGTATACTACTAAATAACATGTAGAGGGGCACGTCTAGGTATTTAGGGAGACTTATTTTAATTGAGTCACTTATAGAACATATATGCCAGTATAAATGTGAGCAATTAAAGCTAATTTTTATTTAGACCTTTTACAGGGTTCACAAATAAGGATAAATATGAATTTAAAAAAAAAAGGATACCCTTGAAACGTTGAGATTCCATCAGTCAAAGACTAATCATTCCTGAGGGCCTACCCTCTATTTTAATCATTAGTTTCAGGGCAAACTAGACCAACTTTTATTAACATTTTTCCCTTAGAGTGAAACAGCTTTCTTTTCTTTCCTCACAGAATGCTTTTATCAACTTGACTTTGTAGTCAACACTCCATTTTGGGCACAATTCTCAGATATATAAGAAATTTTTTTCCAATTAAAATAGTAGTCTTCCAGGTATTCCTCTTACAGGGGATGGTGGTGTCATTGGAATTCCAAGTATGAGTGATTATCTCTGACTTTCTTAACTTGGCAGTGTCTTGGAGTAATGGAAAGAGGGGCACAGGGATGGTAATGAAATTTGAAATCTGTTAACATTTTTGTTTTGGAAAGCTCTTCCTTTCAATGCTACAGTTTCATCTAGCACTTCTGAGAATACTTCCTTAACAGTATGGGTATGCTGGCAAAACAAAACAAAACAAAAATCAACATTATATAAAATTCAAGCTGGTATGTGGTGGGGAGGTGTAAGTCATTTACTTTTTAAAAAGATTCATTGTAAGTTTTAATGGTAAATTAAAATATGATCCATGTTGAACAGTAGTGAAATAATACTGACGCTATCAGGAACATTCTGTATTTATTAGGAAATAAATGCTGCTTTTTTGTACCTTTAATTTTTTTCTGCCTTATACAGTTAACCGGCTCTGCCTAATCTCAGCGAATACGTTATTATTTCAGGTCCTGTGGGAATGGCTGCTGCTGCTGCTGTGGCAACAGGAAAGAAACGGAAACGGCCTCATGTGTTTGAGTCTAATCCATCTATCCGGAAGAGACAGCAAACACGTTTGCTTAGGTGAGGGCTTCCTTATCCATATTGTTGCTACTCCTCAAATGCTTTAGGGTTTGGATGACAGAGTTAGAATATACCTTATCAAGGATATCAAGTTAAATTTCTTATTTTTTTTAACATTTTTTATTGATTTATAATCATTTTACAATGTTGTGTCAAATTATTTTATTTTTTTAACATTTTTTATTGATTTATAATCATTTTACAATGTTGTCAAATTATTTTATTTTTTTTAACATTTTTTATTGATTTATAATCATTTTACAATGTTGTGTCAAATTTTATTTTATTTATTTTTTTAACATTTTTTATTGATTTATAATCATTTTACAATGTTGTGTCAAATTATTTTATTTTTTTATTTTTTTACATTTTTTATTGATTTATAATCATTTTACAATGTTGTGTCAAATTATTTTATTTTATTCAAGTTAAATTTCTTGACGACAGAATTAGACTTTAAAGTACTCTTACACAATCAAATAAATGAAACTAGAAATATGATTAACAGATGTATGATATTACATTAATTCGTTCAGGGAAAATTTGTATGCCTGCTGTGTGCCAAGCATTGTTCTAGGCCTTGGGAATATAACAGCTAACAAAATTCCCTAGAGCGCTTATTTATAATGGAGGGAAAAAGAAAATAAGCAAATATGTCATATGTCACATGATGAAAAGTGCTATGGAAAAAAACAGAGCAGACTAAGGAAAATAGAAAGGTTAGGGGCTTAGGGAGGATATAGTAGTTTCTCTTTTCATAGGGTCTGCAAAATCTCCTCTGATAAGGTGACCTTTGAACAGAGACCTGAAGTAAGTGAAAGGACAGCCACATTGGTGTCTAGGTAAAGAGCTTTTGGGGCAGAGGCAATAGTAAGAGCAAAGGCTCTGAAGTGTGGAGGAATGTGTTAGTCATGCTTGAGGAAAAGCTAGGGAAAGAATGAGAGGAGATGTGGTCAGAGTAGTAGTGGAGAGCCACATCATGGGGTCTTTTGGTCCAGCATTAGGTCTTTGCCTCTTACTCTGAGTGAGGTAGGAAGTTAATGAAGACTTGTGATCAAAGCAATGATATAATCTGGTATATGTTTTGAAAGTGTCACTCAATAGAATAGACTCCAGAGCACAAGAATGGAAGCAAGGAGATCAGTTAGGAGGTTATTGTTGTAATCCAGGCCAGAAATGACTGTCTTCAAACCAGTGTGGCAGTGGCAAAGGTAGTAAGAGGTGGTCAGGTTCTGGATGTATTTCAAAAGTAAACCCAGCATGATTCCTTGATGGATTGGATGTGGTATGTGAGAGGAAAAAAAGTGCAAGTTGACCTCAGGGTTTCTGGTCTGCTTACTGGAAAGATTGAAATGACACTTGCCTGAAGAGAAGCAGGTATGAGAGTGAGAGTAGGGCAGAATCAGGAATTCGGTTTGGACACGTTTAGTTTGTCATACCTTTTAACCACTAAGTGGAGATACAGAATAAGCAGGTGGCAAACAGGAAAGAAACAGAAATGGCCTATATGAGTCCATAATTCAAAGGGGAGATCTCAGCTGAAGATAGAAGTATATAAGTAGTATATGAAACCATGAGACTGGAAGAGATCACATAGGGAGTATGGACTGAGGCCTGATGCACTTTATCCCTTACAAGTTAGAGAAATGAAAGGAGTTAGCAAAGAAGTCTAAGAAGCGACCAGTAAGTCAGGAGGAAAACCAAGAGGGTAGTATCCTGGAAACCAAGTGCAAAAAGTGATTTAAGAAGGAGGGCATGTGATCAGTGCTGTCAAATGCTGCTGACAGGTTGAATAAGATGCAAATTGACCATTAGATTTAGCAACCTGGAGGTCATGATTAAAATTGACAAGAGTGTTTTCAAAGGAGCCGTAAGGATGAAGGGATTGAATGTCTCCAAGAGAGAATAGGAAGAGGAAGTGGAGACTGAATATAGATCATTCCTTTAAGGAATGCCAGTGCATTTCTTGTTTGGTGTGTGGTCCTTTGCTCATTTTTATTTCTTCTGAAGAGTTAGTAGGTTGCAAAGAAAGATTATTACACAGGTGTGGTACACGGAGGACATAATATTTTGACAGGTTGCAAAACATGCATTCATATATGATGAGAAATTTAGTCTATAAAATGTTTCAGAGGTTTCTTCTTGTGTTTCAAATACTACCTCCAAATTTTTAAGATGTTTATTGGAATGTTGAATCCAAATGGAACGCCAGCCTATGTAAATGATATGTGACAAAAGCTATAGAAAATTACAGTCTATATTAAGAACATAAGAAGATTATAAGAAACTGAAGGGAAAACCCAAAACGTATTCAACAGTAGCTTTCAGCAAAGAGGTTGTGTACCACTTGATGGGAAAAAAAATTTCCTTTCCTTTAATGATAAATCTCATTTCTGTTAATGATAGTGCAGGCAGGAGAAATTAGAATGTATTATTTGTAGAAGTATTTTTGCTGTAAGGGACATAGGCACAACAGTACAGGCTTTGGAGAAAGTTGGAAAATTTTATTGTGATAGGTTGGCTTTGCTTCGTTTTAATTGGCATGACTCACCAGTCCCTTGAAAGGGTAGACCATGTTCCCAGAAGAATTATGGGATGTAGAACTTTAAAATAATCTCCCTGATTTTCGAGGAAAAGGACGGCATCTCTATTTCATCTGGTGTGGATATATTTGAAAAAGCTCTTACTGCATCCTCATTTGTAAAATACTACAGGACTAAGAATTATTGTTTTTATCACAGTGAAAATCTGGAAATGACAACACTTCTTTTAATTGAAATATAGTCAGTTTACAGTGTTGTGTCAATTTCTAATGTAGAGCAAAATAGTTCAGTCATATATATACATACGTATTTGTTTCCATATTCTTTTTCATTGTAGGTTACTATATAAGATATTGAATATTGTTCCCTGTGCTATATAATATAAACTTGTTTATTTTAGGTGTAGTAGTTAGTATCAGCAACATTTTTGAAGTGGTATTTTTGGATAAAATTATGTCAGTGAGACATGAATGATGATTATATCAGTCAAAGAAATTAGAAGCAGGTCATGTAAGCCCTCTTCATTAAACATGGAGATGATATAATAAAGTCTATAAGAAGACATCTCTGCATTTATCTTTATCATTATAAGCAGCATAAGATAAAACCCCTTCCTTTGGTATTGCTAAGATCAGGAAGGGTGTTACCTTGTTCACCGTCATGTCATGACTGTGTCCTGAGGTAAACCTGAGGTAGACCCTTATATCAGCAGGTCTTTAGGACAAAAGTATGTACATATTTCTGCTGAACAGGGTGTTAAGCCGCACACTCTCTTTTTTCACACTTCAAGTAAAAGAAAACATATCTAATCATAATAAATTGTCTCAAGTCACAGTAAATCTTGTAATTTCTATCTTCTTTGACTGTTTTTGTTTTCATTCTCTGATTCAGGAAACTTCGAGCCACATTAGACGAATATACTACTCGAGTGGGACAGCAAGCTATTGTCCTTTGTATCTCACCCTCCAAGCCAAATCCCGTGTTTAAAGTGTTTGGTGCAGCACCTTTGGAGAATGTGGTAAGAAAACTGAATCGTGTTCTCGGATACCCTTTGCTTTCTGTGGGTTATTGTTCACATTCTTTTGATTCTTTGTCTAGCACAATAGTTAGCCTATCTTCCCTTCATCCAGAAATGAGGGTCAGGACTGATGTTCAAACTCCTTTATGCAGATCAAAATAAAAATGACCATTTTTGTTTCTACTTTCCATAACAAGGTTATTTTGCCTTATCAGAGCAATGGAAAAAAAATGGCATTGTGTTCATTAAGAAACCAATGCAAGATTTTGTGAGAAAGTTACAGATTTATATTAGAAACAAAATCGTAGCTAACTCAAGATGTGCAATTTGTGAGGCAAACCTGAGAGCATTTCATTAATCGCTGACATTTGAGTTGCATGTTTTAAATGTCTTATATTCTAAGAATTTAACACTCTGCTTCAATATAGTTGAATATTTTGATTGTATACCTATATAGAACTGACTTTATAAAAATAGTATTTTACTGTTGCATACTTACACTATGTGAACTACTCTTTCTCTGACTGAAGTAACTTTGAGTACTTAGTAGAATAATGATCTGTCCAGATTTAAATTGCATTTTGTTTTTACAAGGATTAAATTCATTAAGTTAAAATGGCATTTATTAGATTTCTCTCATATTGAATGTAGATATTTCAAGAGCTCAGAATTAGTAATCAGTTGAGATTTTGTTTGTTGTATTTTTTGCACGTACACAAATGTTGTAGTTCTTAACATTTTTGAGTTTTCTTTTGAGTTTTCCCCAAATTCCTGAGACTCTAGAATAGGGTGCATATTTGGACCTTTCCTTAGAGGAATAAGGTAGAAGGCTTCTAGTTCAAAATGGTGCCTAACAAGCAGCCCTTAGTGTCATGCTGTTGACAAACATGAAATCTAAGTGTGTCTTCTTCAATTTTAAGTTTTAAATGATATTACTACTACTAATAATAGTGTGGTCTATGAAAAAGACTCATCTGGAAGACTCAGAAAAATACCTCTGAAAATTACTCACTAAAAAATTCAAAAGAAAAGTATTGGAAAACTGTTGGAATCTTCTATAGAATGTAAAAAGTTGCAAACTCTGTGAAACAGGAATAAATGGTCATATGATAGCCTAGACCAAGAGAAAAAGCAATAGGTATTTTTCCATTGACTGGCATTTGATAAATACAGGCTAAAGAATAAATACAGGAGAATACAAGCAAAGTATGTCTTCCAGACCAATGAAGAGGGGGAAAGTCTTATACAAAAGATAGAAAACAAGGGAAGGAATTAAAAAACAAAATAGAACACAAGGCATAGAACAAAGTAACATAAATGAGACCAGCTAATTCTGTTATAAACTATAAATATAAATGTGTTGAACTCTCTTATTAAAAATAAAGATTTTCTTTCAGTTTGGAACGACAACAATCCAAATCAAAACCCAATTCTATTCAATTTATGTGACATACTTATAGTGACTCACAGATGTTCAAATGATACCATCAAGAAAGTGAAAAGACAGTCCATGGAATGGGAGAAAATATTTGCAAATTATATATCTGACAGAATTTGTATCCAAAGTATATAAAGAACTCATATAACTCAACAATAAAAGACAAATAACCCAATCTAAAATGGCAAAGAATCTGAATAGCTATTTCTCCAAAGAAGATATAGAAATAATTAATAACTATTAATTAGGGAAATGAAAATCAAAACCACAATGAGATACCACTTCATACCCACTAGGATGACTATAATAAAAAAGATGTACAATAATAGTAAGTGTTGGTGGGGAATATGGAGAAACTGGAACCCTCATACATTGCTGTTGGGAATGTAAAATGAAGGAACTGCTTTGCAAAATAGTTTGGCAATTTTTCAAAATGTTAAAAGTAGAGTTACCATATAACCTAGCAAATCTACTCCTAAGCTTACTGAGGAGAACTGAAAACCAATCTTATAAGCACAGTGTTCATAATAGCAAAATTTATATACAAAAACTTATACACGGTGTTCATAGTAGTATTAATCATAATGACCACAAAATGAAAACAACCCAAATGTCCATCAACTGATGAATGGATAAAAAAATGTTCTATTATCCACTCAGTGAAATATGCAGCAATAAAAAGGAATGAAGTAGTGATAAGTACAGCATGGATGAGCCTTGAAAACATCGTGCTAAGTCAAAGAATCCATTCACAAAAGGCATATATTGTATGATTCCATTTATATGCAATGTCCAGAACAGTCAAATCTATAGAGACAGAAAGTAGATTAGTGGTTGCCAGGTTGAGAGGGGGCAGGGAGGAACAGAGAGTGACAGCTAGTAGGTATAGGGTTCTTTTAGAGAAAATAAAACCAGATTATGATGATGCTTGCATGACTCTACAAATATTATTTAGGATTGAATTGTACATTTTAAACGGTGAATTTTGTGGTGTGTGTGGCAGGCTGAATAATGAATGTCCCCCAAATATATCCAGATCCAAATCCCTGGAACTACAGAGTGTTACTTAACTGGCAAAAAGAACTGCAGGTTTGATTGTTAAAGATTCTGAGATGGGGAGATTATCCTGGATTATCTAGGTACACCCTAAATCTAATCACAGTCTCTTTATAAGAGGGAGACAAAGGGAGATTGATACAGAAGTAGGAGATGTGTTGGTGGAAGCAGGGAAGGAAAGGGTCAGGAGTGAAGGAATACATGTTAGATGGTATGAGAAAAGAGATTCTCTTCCAGAGCCTCCAGAAGGAGCAGCCCTGCCAACACTTTCAGACCAGTGAAGCAAGAGAATGAATTTCTATTGTTTTAAGCTTCCAAGTTTGTGATACTTTGTGGCAACCATAGGAAAACCTAATATGTATGGCATATGAATTATATCTCAATAAAGCTGTTACAATTTTAAAAATAATAAATAGGCAAAGATATATCAACAAAAATAAATCATGGATTGCAACATTAATATCAGAGAAAGCTAAATTCTCAAGACAGAGGAGTATTAACTGAGACCCAGAGGTCTTTAGTATTGATAAACAGTATAAATTTATAATGAGCCTCTTATGTCTCAAGTAACATTAAAGCAAAGCATGTAGATCAAAAAGTTAGAAATGGGAGGGAAAAAAAGAAACCACAGTGGTAGTAGGAGGCTTTAATATCTTTGTCAGGTCAAGGAAGAAAAATATAAATAAGAAATAGAGATCTGAATAACAGAATTAAAGTTTAATACAAAGAATAGATAATTAACATTGATATCTTACAATGGGAGACTATACCTTTTTTGAAAAATTATATGAATAGGTTATAAGAATTAACTATATGTTATTATTAGGCCCCAAAGAAAATCTTAATAAACTGTAAAATGTGGAGAATTACACAGGCCATATTTTTAACCTTAGTATAGAAAGTTTAGACTTAATATACAAAAGATTAACAGGAAAAAATTTTTAGCCACATGGAAATTTTTAAATACTTCTTAAAAGAAAAACTTAATTTGCATACTATTTTAAAATAATTTTTAAAAATTGTAAAAGTTATTATCTAAATTGGTGCTCAAAGAAATATTCATTGCCTTGATTTTTTTCTTATATATAAAGAAAGAAGGAAAAGAAACTTCATGTAAAACAAGAAGCTGGAAAGAGAACAGTAAGTCTAAGAAAGAAATAGTTTAAGTAAACATGTAGAAGAAATGAATGATTTTGTAAACGGAAATAGAATTGTAACACTCAAGAAATGGTACTATGAAAAATCCAGTGAAATAGAAGAATGTCTAGCATACTGATTCAGAAAAAGGATGAAGAAAACAAATATATAGGTTTAGAAATGAGATGAGAGTTATAACTGCAGATAAGAGTTGTAATTGCAGATAAGAATAGATTAAAAATTATAAGGAAATGCTGTGTATTAATTCTGTTCTTATCAATTAAAAACCTCAACTAAGTGGATAATTTAATAAGAAAATAAAATAACCAAAACATGTCCAAACCTCAGGAGGACGATAAACCTGTGCCAAACTGAAAAAGTAATTAAACCATCCCTCAAAGGGCCACTACGTCCACCCCTGATTATTTTGGATGACTTCTGTGAAACCTTAAAAGTACAGAATATTCCTTAATTTTATAAATACTGGTATATGGGGTGGTATTAAAGAGTCAGAGCCTATGTTTACTGTAATCAGCTATGTAGTATATTGCACATACTCTCATATTAATAATAGTTAAAGAAATTATTTAGATTTTATAATTATGTTTAACATTTATTGAATACTTACGTTCTAGGTTATAAGTTATAAGCACTTTATATGTATTGTCTTATTAAATAATATTAAAACTTTGGTATTTACATTTTGCCTTCCTGCCTGAAACCATCATTGATCTTCCTTTTTGCTCTTCTTTCTGGAGGTTTCTGAGAACTCTGGAAGATTAAAATTAAGTAGGGCTGTTCATCTTGGAATATGGATTACAGATTCAGGATTGTCAGTTATTTATTGAGTTCTGCCCATATTATCTCCTTGCCACCAATTGGGATGTATGGCAAGGCACTGTAAACAAAAACAAGAACAGCAAACTGGCAAAACAATCTTTTAAAAATAGTAACAGCAATTACAATTTGTTGAGTGTTTATAATGTGCCTGTTTCTGCTAAGCACTTTGATTTTTACTTAATCATCACAATAACTCTGTGATGTATATATTTGTTATTACCTGTGCTTTACAGATGTAGTAATTGAGGATTTAAGAGCTTAAATATTTTGCCCAAGATCACATAGTAAGTAGTGAACTGATTCATATTCTTAATATATAAAGAACTCTCAAAAACCAATAAAATATGAACAGATGAATAACAAAGATCTAAAGATGTTTGAATATGGATTAGATATTAGATGATATTAAGGAATTATGTTATTTTTGTAGGTTATGAAAATTGTATTGTAATTATATATGAGAATGCCCTTATTCTTCCAAGATGCATGCAGAAATATTAAGAAGTCTTGAAATGTCTAGATATACTTT